GGTCACCGTGGCGGAACTTCCGATCCCTGAAATGGAGGCGGAACTTCCGGTCCTTGCGATGGTCACGGAGGCGCACAGTCGCTGGTGGTCTTGGTGCACAGATTTTACGTACGGAGATCTCAGTCAGTTGACTCGGGCTGTTGCCTCGGACAACTGACTTCGACCAATAGGTTAATCGCGACTGACTGACGAAATAGTACTGACGAACTGACCGGACAGTTGACTCGGGCTATCGCCTCGGACAACTGACTCAGACTTGTAGAACTGACTAACAGACGATTAGAACTGACTCTGTGCGCTTCCGTGGCCCTCGTATTTATACCCCAAAAAGGCGGGCTTTTCCTTTGTCCGAGATTGTTGCTTCGCCAGCAACTAGTGACGTGATTTACGACTTTTCTTAACTCCTATCGTTGTTGATCAAGCGTCTTCTTGGAAGAGTTTTAAGAGTAAGGGATTTTACGATTTTTTTTTTAAGTCCTATCGTTGTTGATCTAGCGCATTCCCGGAAGAATTTTAAAAATAAGCTATTTTACAATTTTTCTTAAGGGTGTCGAGTGTTGGAAATCGTTGTCGGGACCATGCCGCGCTTTTGTTGTAATAAAATATATGACCGGAGGAATTGTTGGTTTTTGCGGCTTGATTTACATTTGTTGTGTGCCGGATAACCGCTGTCGGTGGTGAGTCAGGTAACATTGCCGTGGGAAACCCTCTAAAGAGTTTTACGATTTGGCACGAGAGACGTGGCGCCTGTTATTTCTTAAACGAGTTTTCTTAGAATCGCGGATCACCCCTAGATGGTACTTTTGAATGTTCGTTATCCCGTGACCGCCTTGCATTGGAAATTTACGGTTTCGCAATTTTTATCGCTGCGCCGCCAGCCTTGTACGCATGCTGTTTTTTCTCTTTTGATTTTTCTTTTGAGTGGCATTTACGAGTTTCCCAGTGCATGGAGTTTACTTATAGGCTCCATTATCAGATATCCGTACTCGGTCCCTTCTCGTAAATGTCATTCTAGTCATGACGCTGATTAAGATCCTTTGAAAGAAAAGAATCGTGGAGTCTACAGGACGTAACAATTGAATATTGTTTATTAATTTACGTTACATATGTACTATATACTATAGATTTTCAGTTTAACAACAACTATTGGAAAGCAGGCTAATTGTAAGATATAAAATATGTTTCAAAATTTTAAATAACTAACGAGGGCGCGAGGTGTTACTCACCGATTTTAAAAAGGCTTACATATGTATGTTAAAGTACTCTAGTAATAGAGTACTTTTGGCAAAGGGATACGACCAAACTCTCAGCCGCCTTCTCGACAATGGGTTTAACGCGACCGGTATATACGGAACTGTAAACTTTAAACCGGTTTTTCTCGAAAACGGCTGAGAGTTGGGTCATATCCCTTTGCCAAAGTACTCTATTACTAGAGTACTTTAACGTACATAAGCCTTTTTAAAATCGGTGAGTAACACCTCGCGCCCTCCCCTTTAAGATCAAAGGACTCTCTCTTAATAAAACCCATCATGAGTGCTGTCTGGGTGAGTTATTGAGAAAACGAATTTCGCTTAATTATTATATTTAAACTCATTACACCACGTTATTTCACATTAGATTATTGATTCTGCCAACATTCTATTTATCAATCTTCTGTCAACGAATTGTTCTCTCGGAGAGTCACTCATTTGACATCACAATATTTGAATACAATTACAAATTTACCGCCACTACGATATAATGGTTTCCTCTACATCTGAAGAAGACTCAATTTAGGAGCCGAAACATGTTATGTATGCATTTTGATATTGTTTTAATTCTATTTCTAATTTTATATTTATTAATTTCCTAATTATTTATTGAAGATTTCTCGGATTTGTCCTTTACTTTATTCTTATTATTGTTTTGATATCGGCAGCTTTATTTATTTATTATTTATTATTTATTTATTCTTAATAATAAAATCCCCCTCATCTCACCGCGCGCGGTCCAAATGCCACACGATGCTCGAGCGACATTTGATCTGCACGCAGAGCGGTAAGGTGAGGGGAACAGTGGAAAGCGGAGGTGATTCGAAAATCGGCCGAAAGTTACATAGGGTAAACCCGGTATATACGCCGCGTCAGGAAATACGCCGCAGAAGTCAGAAAAAATAGAAGGAGTGGGGATAATTTTCCGTCAATTACTTTGTTACATGCCTTTATGGTATATTAGTATTATGTTATGATTTTAATTTTTTACCGTTAAGATTAATGAAATTATTGCGAGTTAAATCGATTTTTTACTGTAATAAATAGTGCCATCATAATTTATAATCTACATATTATAAAATGATTACTGTAGAGCGTGTAAAAGACTTAGTGGTTGTTTTGCAATACATATGTGTAGAGGAATAGTAAAGCATGTTGTATAGCAAAATACAAGTGCTTTGCTCCTGTATTGTTTGTTTAATTAGTTGTCTTATATATCCCATCTATTTGGGATATACGGCATTTTTAGCGAGCGGGATGCTGTGCCGCAGCACAGACGCTCTATTTAAGAAGTTTTTGTTAATTCTAACAATTATATTTTGCATTAATGCATAAATGTTGATAAATCTTAAACGTTTAACGATTATTTTCAAAGATTTGAAGCTATTTAAAAAAAATTGTATTAAGTCCTATTTGTATTCCAATTTTCATTCTGAACAATAAAAATTGTCATATATTAATAAACAAATGCAAGTTACGTCGTCATTTTACATCTTATTTATAGATTATTTGTGATTTTCTTATGAATAAGTTTTTATTTGTATAATTAATTTGCTTTAAACAGAGTAAATAATAATTGATAAATTAAGTTTTCGATAGGTGCGGCGTATATACCAGGTTTACCCTATACTTTATGTATATTCACTTTGTACTGGCACCTTTAATTAATAATATGTCAGTTACTTTTCATGGTAATATATATTATTATTAGATAGAAAGGTTTAAATTTTTTAGTATCCTTTTTTGAACATGGCTTGAACTTTTCATTTGTATGATATAATTTTTTACGGATATCACTTACTTTTTAGAGTACAAATATATCACATATATATAAAAAAATGATTTAAAAATATTAAATAATGAAAGAGAATGAAATACAGCGAAAGAGAGGGATGATGAGGTGGGCGGTGAGGGGAAGGGAGGGAAGTGGGAGGAGGTGCAGTGGGTCGAAGATGGTAAAGGTATGAGTGAAAGGTGAGAGGGGATGTTAGAAAGTTTTAATACGGCCTTGAATGCGAATAGAGAAGAAGAAAAAGAAGGAGGAGAAGAAGGAGACGTTTCTTAATTTTTCATTAAAATCATCACTTTTCGACCGCTTGTATATCCATTGTCCAGAACGGTTTGACCGATTTAAAATTTTTTTGGCTCGTATTACTCTTGGGGATGCCGCCTTTCAGGACATATAACGTTCGATTCAAAATTTTTTATATTTTAGTAGTTATGCACCCCCGAAAAATAAACTTTAATGTCTCGAAATAAGAGACTTGTAGTGTCTTTCAGTTTTTGAACATGGCCGGAGACACTACCACGTCTCCCGTGTGATAATAAAATTATAAACACGATATATAAGAGTCAATTTGTCAAAACAATATATATACAGGGTGGGCTATTTTAATCTCCCCACCTGAATTTCGCGAGAACTATATCCTGTAGACAAAAATGTTTCAAATAAAAATGGAACGGTATCGAGGGGGACACGTTTTAGTCATGTTGTTTTTTTTCTAAGTGGAGGCGCTAAAAAGATATAAAGGTCACCTCCACTTTTTTAAATGGAATTATGTAATTTTTTTTAGATAACGTGATTCTAATTATTTTGCATATAAAAGTATTAAGGTAGAGATACCAAAAAACCAATAGTTTTCGAGATATTTTACACTTTATTTTGATACATATTGACACAAAATGTTTAATAACTCGTAAACTGTTGATTTTTGATTATCGTACCTTAATACTTTTGTGAACAGAATAATGAGATAAATCAAATGGTGTAAAGAAAACACATAGTTGCTTTAAAAAAAATTGTATACAAAATGGATAATTTTTTAAATACGCAACTATTTGTTTTTTTTTATACCACTTGATTTACCTCATTATTCTGTTCACAAAAGTATTAAGGTACGATAATCAAAAAGTCAACAGTTTACGAGTTATTTAACATTTTGTGTCAATATGTATCAAAATAAAGTGTAAAATATCTCGAAAACTATTGGTTTTTTGGTATGTCTACCTTAATACTTTTATATGCAAAATAATTAGAGAAATCACGTTACCTAAAAAAAATTACATAATTCCATTTAAAAAAGCTGATGTGACCTTCATATCTTTTTAGCTCCTCCACTTAGAAAAAAAACAATGTGACTGAAACGTGTCCCCCTCGATACCGTTCAATTTTTATTTGAACCATTTTTGTTTACAGGATTTAGTTTTCGAGAAATTCAGGTGGGGAGATTAAAATGGCCCATCCTGTATATATACATAGATTAAAATATTTATTAAATATTAAACAATATAGATTAAAATATTTAATAAATATTTTAATCTATATTGTTTTGATAAACTGATTCTTACATGCCCTCTGTTTATAATTTTATTATTTCAAATTTTTATTTAAATAAAATGTTTCTATCGAATCATAAATAACGCTATCTATTAAATAAAGATAACAGAGAACTAAAATCATACGGCGTTATAATTTTATTTTTCAACCCTGCAGAAGTACATTCTCGTTTTCGTTTACTTAATATAACTCTAACGTACTCGCTCGAGTTTTACGTTTCTTGTGCAATATCGTGATTGTATCGCCATGTTCGTTGTTAGCAGCATTGTTATCTCGCTTATGTAAATTGTGATCGAGTTTGTATTTTTTTTTTATTATTCTGGGAGATTGATTTTTGTTTAATTCGCTACGCTGCTTATTTTTACGATCAATATTCGTATGTGATCGTCATTTCTCGCTGATCCATCGATCAGACGTGGATGAATGTCTGGAACGCAACGTGTGTCCCGATGGAGGATGCCAGAACACCATAGGATCGTACATTTGCATCAAGGAGAAATCCGCGAAGAGTGCATCCTACGAAGCATGCCCTCCGGGTTACGAGTGGCATCCATTGACAGGTGACTGCGCAGGTAAGAAGAAGCGAGTTTTTAATGTTACATTATTCGCACCTTTGATTAACAAATTGGAAATCAACATTTTATTTATTATTATTATTATATGTTTATTTTCCAGATATTGATGAGTGTGTCGTTTTATCAGCTGCGTGCGCTGCAGATAAACCATTTTGCGTGAATACGCCAGGTAGTTACACGTGTCTGGAAATGACCGGCGTGAAGTCCTGTCCTGCGGGATTCAAATTCGACAAATCATTGCAGCTATGCAAAGGTATATAATGTTGTCAATATTTATATTTATTTGGTCAACTACTCAAGAAAAAACACCAAGTCGAGAGAAAGTAAAAAATGACGATTTTTTGATTATAAAATTTGACCGTTTGTACTGATATTAAGAATTAACAAAAGAATGAATAAAATAGCACAAACCTATTAAGTTTGGTTAACGACTCATGAATTAATACAAATTAATGAATAAATTAAAAACAAATATGACAGGTAATGTGAGTCAACCGCTGGTTATAAAATTTGCGAATAATTTTAAATATATATTTACAAAGCTAAGCAACCTTTATTTCGATGACGTTTATAAATTTGCTTCTCGTACGTTTCGACTCTTGTTTTGAGTCATCTTCAGCGCATATTGTAATAAAATATAATAGTTCGACATCTCAAAATTCATACTCCTAAGATTGCAGACACAACAATCGTGAGAAGAGTCCCATACTCAATTAGTTAGTATGTTAATGGTGATGAAAAACTAGCTAAAAAGTATTTTGAAATTTTAATTAAACTGAATAATCATTTTATTTAAATCTTAGACTCACCTCCACCATTATTGCGTCCTTACAAATATCACAAACATCATAAATTGTCATAAATAATAATATAATGTCAATAAAGTAAAATAAGAGCAATTAAATCGAAACTCTGATGTCTGAGATCAGTTACTTATTAAATTCGAATTACAAAATAATGTCGGTCAAACTTAAAACTTATGTAGTTGTTGACATGTATATTATGCCTATGTTATACCTAACAAGGGAAGTATCACAACTGTCCGCCTCCGATTTGATTCTCCATGAAATATGTTGTTAAGCACGAAAATCTAAGAGACAAGTATTTTTTTATATGTGCCCTAACTCATGTTTAAGGGGTGAAACACCCCTTTGCAAAGAAACGGTATTTTTCTTTCGAGGAGAAAATACAAAAAAAATTTAAAACATTTTTAAACAAAATTATTTAAACAAAAAATTAAAAAAATTTTTTTTCTTTGTATTTTTAAAGTAGGTACTCTTGAAACCGTACAACTTTTGTTTAAAAAATTTTTTTATATCTTTTATACTTCCGATGATATTCGCCTTGAAAAAAAAATACCGTTTTTTTTTCAAAGGGGTGTTTCACCTTAAACATGAGTTAGGGCACGTATAAAAAAATACGTGTCTCTTAGATTTTCGTGCTTAACAATATATTTCATGGAGAATCAAATCGGAGGCGGACAATTGTGATACTTCCCTTGTAAGTATAATGTGTGTATCCTATAATGTCGTCATTAACATATATTATATGCGCACGCTACATTTTGTTAAGGATGTCAATGTAAATTTGATTTAAGTTAGCTGTGTCTTGTTGTAAATTTATCCCATTCGATTGTCGATTAATCTGTATCATCTCCGATATCAAGCGTTTATAGTAATATCTTTCTACATCCAAAACTCAACATCTTTCCATTCAAAATCATGCCCAGTATTCAGCCTATATTCTATTAAGAATTAAAATCGAGTCATTTGATTTTTTGACTTTTGTGTGTTCCCTGGATATTGTCGAATTAGTACACACGATGATTTTTCAGTTCTTATTACTACGAACACATAGGTTGTTCGTGTCCCGGGTTAACTTTCATCACTTTTGCAAGTATACGAAAATTATTAAGAAATTTTTATATGTGTTTCAACATTTTTAGAACATAGAAAGGTTGTGTATTAAAAAAATGTATATAAATGTTAAAGAAAAGGAACGCGCAGAACGCGAATGACCCATTTACATGTACATGTGTATGTATGTATGTACCAAGAATTAATTTACGTGTATGGCGAAATGATGAATTTTCTGTGGGAAATCTTGCCTCTTTACGTATTCCTCTCTGTTTATTTGTTAATCAGATGTGGACGAGTGCGCGGAAGATATTCACAGCTGTGCGGCAGATGTCGAGCAATGTCGAAACACTGAGGGTGCTTACGAGTGCGATATAAAATGCGGGAAAGGATTCGTATACAATATCGGCCTGGGAGTTTGCGTCGGTGAGCTTTCGGTTTTCATCTCGAGAATTTTTATATCTTCGTTGTGATGCGCATCATCGCTTTTCCATAAGTAAATTTTTAGTATTTTTTAAACTTAAATTTTCGGTCCTTTTACCAGATAAAAGTATGCATGCACTGCATCTCTTGATTGCAATTTTTTTTCATTTCAAAAGATCGATCGAATGCGGAAAACGTTGTGAATTATCTTGGGTTTCTATTTGAGCTCACATCCACAATCTGATTTTGCGTGCGACGCTTCATTCTTGTTTCTTTCATGCATGTGAGTAATAAATTTACTTCTTAAGTGATTGCATTTTTCAATAATTCATATGTATATGCGCTATCATGATTGATTAATATGCAACAAAAATTATATGTGTATATGAGCGTATTGCTAAATTAACACTCTGGAAGTGGATCTATTGACTTCCCACTTAATTGTAAATCTCTTTGCTAAAAATGTCATTTCAATTTTTTACGTCGTTATATCTGAAAATTTTGATTTTTGTTATTACACTCTGTAAAAAAGTTTACTAAATCTTAATATATATTTCTTTTTGAATAATACTAATAGTAGTTATTTACTTATAGTATGAGTATATATTTACTTATAATAAAAAAATGATAATTAAATCAAATTAATGGTTTTTATATCAAATAAATAATATACGTTACATTTAGTAAACTTGAAATTATTCAAACAAATATTAAAATTGATTTTTTTCCAGTGGAAATAATACTTAACATTAATTTTTTATTTCACTTTGGTTCTTTGAAATTAATTAATGCTTCTTAATTAACATAAATTAAATCTTACAGAATTAGCATCAGTATTAGAGATTTTGGCGTCAAAACTCCGAAGGGTTAACAGTGTCAAGATTTTACAGATTGAAACTTAAAAGTCATACAACACATTTTTAATACTATACTTTCGTCGATTTCTCTCTGGAAAAATAAATAATTATAATCTATGAGATTATATTATATGTATTTTTTTAGACATAGACGAATGTATCGAGTCGAGCAATCCTTGTCCCGATTCTGACACGATTTGTGTTAACACGGAGGGTGCGTACGAGTGTACAAGAACATCATCGAGTCCTTTTCCACGTCTTCTAAATGACAACAATCCGTCCGATCATCAAAAGAATATGCAATCGAGTTCACGTATGATTTGTTCGGCGGGATACAAACCCTCTAACGATTCCAGAATAACGAGATGCATCGACGTCGACGAGTGCAACGAACAATTGCATTCTTGCGAGTTTGATGAGCGTTGTATTAACGAAATTGGTAGTTACAGGTACGATTTTCTGTGACTGTTCAATTATGTATATTCAAAGGAAGATTTTAACAATATACTTTATTTAAAAAAAAATAGATGCCTACCGCTTGAAATCAATAAGGATACATCCACCACGGAAGAAATCAACGACAACCAACGCGATGATCGATTTAGTCGGGAGTACAAATTAGAGGGAACGAATATTTCGTCGGTTATGAATGAAATCGAGGATTGCAGCGACGGTTATTTTTTCGATGGGAAATCAGACCGCTGCATCGGTATAATTATTTCTTATTTTTACATCAAATAATCTTGTTTTGTACGGAATTTTGATAATTTATGTATTGTATAGATATTGACGAATGTGCCAATGGAATAGCGATTTGCAGTACAGACGAGCGTTGCGTGAACACGGAAGGTGGTTACCGATGTTTTCCAACTTGTCCACCTGGTTTTCAGCTGCGTAATTATTCTCGATCTGCGAACGAGATCAAGGAACGTTGCGAGGATATTAACGAATGTTTGTTAGGTTTACATACCTGCAATAGCTTGACTCAATATTGTATTAATACGAACGGTTCCTACGTTTGTGGAACACGAACCACCACTACTACCAGAATCGAGACGACTAGTAGCACGACAACAAGATCGTTCGTTGGTTCGCGCTACAACAAAGTAGAGGTATCTAGAAGTATAAGTTTTGTGTGAGTTACTGTGATTACATCGATCTTGAGAAAATAATCACGGCGAAAAATATAAAGTAATATGCGCTAAAATTTTAGTCAATTTTATGGAATTGGCAGGTCTATATAGGGCACCCACTTATAAAATTTACTTTATTTTTCTGGTAAATAAATCGTATAACGATCTCATACTACAAGGAACTCTTCATATTTTCTAAAGTAAATCTATAAATTATCGTACACACGTCTCAATAAAATTACTATCGACGAGTATTTTTTACTTTAGTGCTGATAAAATTTACTGCGAGGTAAAGATACATTTATAAGTAACGTGTAAAGTCTTGTGAAGGTTGTTTATACAGTCCTGAAAATAGTAGGATTTACTTCATTATAAAGTAATAATTACTTGAATGGATTTATTATAATAAATAAGATAAAAAGTACGTTACGATTGTAATGTACTTTTTTTTTACACCTCTGATATTTTTACTTTTAAGTAAAAATAGTCAGAACATTTTTACTATAGTTTTGTAACGTAACAATTACTCAACAATTTTTCTCCGTGATTATTCGTAAAAATTGTTATTTTAATGCTCGTATTATATAATATTCCAGAGTACGGATCGTTACTGGTCCACCGAACCCTGCAGATTGGGATACAAGAGAGACGCAAGTACAGGCTACTGCGTGGACATAGACGAGTGCGTGATCGGTCCTGGGTGTCGGGATCATGAGAGATGCGTGAATACTCAAGGGGGCTATGATTGTTCACCCCTTTGCAGCACTGGCTGGTACTTTAGTACGACGACGAAGAGCTGTCAGGACGTGGACGAGTGTTTGTTAGGCGGGCACGATTGTCCTCAGAGTACGCATAGGTATATATCTTCAATTATGTGGAACGCATTTCAAATTGCGTGTTCTTTTTTCTATGTTTTTTCTACGTTTCTTTTATCTAATTATGTAACGATTGGCATATTTTTCTTCTGCGACAATTAATACTCGAACGTACAAAAATCCGGAAATTTTGGTTGCAGATGCATCAATACCAATGGATCCTTTGTTTGCGAGTTAATACGACCCTGCAGTCACGGCTATAGACGAGCCTTCAATGGCACCTGTCTTGATATCAACGAGTGTTCCGAGAATCTGCATAACTGTCGACTTAACTTGCATCAGTACTGCGTAAATAAAGAAGGTCACTTTGAGTGTTTGACTAGGCTACCCTTTTGCCCGTCTGGATATGAATATTCTTTGGGCGCTCGACGATGCGAGGACATCGATGAATGTCTAACCGGGCAATACAGCTGTGACGCGAGATTTTCCGAGAGATGCGTCAACCTGCCAGGTACCTACAGGTGCGCGAAACTTTTCTATTGCAAAATCTATAAAATGATCTACCTGAAATATATTAGGTGTATAAATAAGTTTCCGCCGTTTTTTCATAAAAAAAAATTGGGTCTTTATTATGAAAGAACGGTACATAATGTTTTATTCGAAGTTATTGTCCATCGCTAGCCACTACTTTTTCCCATCTTTCTGGTAATTGGTGGATTCCACGTCGAAAAAACAAAAAACGTCGAAACCACGTCCTTATTCGACGTTAAATTCACCGTTCTTAAACTTTTGAAACCACTCACGGTAACTTCTCTCACAATTAAGACAGCCTCACCATATATGCTTCTACAAGCAATCGATGCGCCTCAGCTGCAGATTTCTTCAAATTAAAGAAGTTCCCGCAAATGACGCTTATTCGGCTCCAAACTAAACATTTTCACACGAAAAAAGATATATGATGCTGATACAAAATCGCTAATATTTCAAGGTTATGTTGTTGCCAGATGTCCAACCTTACGATATGACGTTTTACAGCAGACAATGGCTACGTTCCGTTATTCACTGCAAGTATTGAAAATTTATAGTTCGCGTTACGTATACTATAGATTTTCAGTACTTGCAGTGAAAAACGGAACGCAACCAATGTTAACCATAACCATAATGTATTGGTGGCGCCATCTTTTGTCAAACGGCGGAAACTTAATTATACTCCTAATACATTAGGGCAAATATTAAATAGGAGTTGAAATACGAGTTAAAAATTCAGTGACATATGTATATCTTGCAGATGCGAGAGACCTCCTCCTCGTCAACGCCAAAGACCAGCTTGTCCTTCCGGCTATCGGTATCACCCTAATTTACGCAGGTGTACAGGTACAATTAAAAATTTATAAGAAAAAAACCTAGTCCGGTTTGCAATAACCTTTTACTGTAAACTAGTATGATTTTTATAGTTTGATTTTAAAAATTAATGAATTACTTTTATAAATTGTAAAAATGTTAAATATTTGTATCTTTGACTGTTTCATACTCTTCATATTTGTTTAAATTACTAATCTCTAATTCTACAATATATTCTTTTTTAATTTACAGCATAAACTAAACGTTCTATTCTATTTAATGTGTAGCATAAACTGTATTAACAATTTCAGATATTTTTCGTATTTTCAGAACTCGTCTCAAAACAATATAAACTTGTCAAGCACAGATTGAATTATTGACGCATGTTCGATAAGTTCTTCGCAAATGTACGGGTGAATTATACCTGTTATATTCCTATCGCCTTTCGACATACGCACGATTAATTACACGTTGTTTGCATCACAAACTGATACGCAATTTTTATTGCATCGAAATACGAGTATGTTTGTGTTTTATATGTCGTCCTTATTTCATTTGCCTTCAACAATGCTTTTATCGGGGGTACAATTTGGAAGCTTAAATGTCAGGGTATGTGTTGCAAGAAAATAATAATTGCTTTTCTATTTAATCTTAGTACTTTAATTAAAAAAAAAACGACTACTTTAATTTAAAGAGAGAAATATTTATACGAGTTTTGCCATCTAAAATACTTTGTTAAATTATAGACATTGACGAGTGTGCGGAAAAATTGGACACATGCGGGGATAAGCTCTGCTACAATCAACCAGGTGGTTACAGCTGTTCGATGCCGCCGGTTCCAATGACCAGAAAACCGACCACGACGGCGATGCCAGCTCCGATGAACGAGAAATGTATACGCGGCACCAGATTCGTGAGGAATCGCGGCTGCGTCGACATCAACGAATGCAGGGAATTGGAGGATGCTTGCAGCAGTAACGAGATGTGCGTCAATACCGTAGGCAGCTATACGTGCACCTGCAAGACCGGTTTCAGGCGTGATAATCTCACGCAAGCCTGCGTCGATATCAACGAATGTCAGTTGCAGGTGACGACAAGGATAACGAGACTTCGCGTAATCTCGCTCATCACGCGCGATCTGATATCAATTTATGTCGTTAATTTAGAGAAAAAGATCGAAATATTGTAACATCTCGTGCGTGTTGAGCCGGGGAAGATTACATATAATGTTGCGATCCGACTTATTACGCTCACAATGCTCTTGGAATCATTTCATCTTTACTGTTCATCAAACAAAGAAAAATTATGCTCAGTATTTGTGAGCGTGAATCGGACCACAACATAAAGCACAGTCTAAATACGTAAAGTCTACGTCATATCGTCGTTAATTTAATAATGTTTTCTATTATATAGGAGAATGACTGTTTGCCGACGCAGCGATGCGACAACACAATCGGCAGCTACACATGCACGCGTTTTCTGCCTTGTGGTACTGGTTATACTCTTAATGCCGCGACGGAGATCTGCGAAGACGACGATGAGTGTGTTCTGAACACTCACGATTGCGGGTCCGGATATCAGTGTAGAAACACCCTGGGCTCGTATCGCTGCGATCGCATTCCGCGTATACTGCCGACTCCGCCGCAGTCACGTACGTCGCCAATGACGACGGCGAGAATTACGACGATTAAGACGACGACGCCGATGTCGTTGACTACGACAACTGGTTCTCGGGTGAGCTGCCCGCACGGCTTTGAGCTCGGTTCTGGAGGCAAATGCGTGGACATAGACGAGTGCCAAAGAACGTCGAATCTCTGCGCCATGAAAATGTGCATCAACACTTTGGGATCTTATAGGTATACGCATAAAATTGCCAATACACGGAAAGAATAATCTTGCTTAAATATCCAAAAATTTACCTAGATATAGATCTGAAATTATCTTATGTTGGATAGTTGGTTCGTTAAAATTCATGCAGGACATCCGAGCATGACGAGCAATGCCGTAAAAAGTTTTAATTTTCTGTCAACCAACTTATTTGAGCGTCTAATACAATTATTTTGATCCAACAAAATTATTGGTAAATGTTTACAATAACGGAAGCAGCTCCGATGCTCTTGACCTTACATATGTTGTCAAGGTCATGACCCTGAGTAACCTTTATTTTTAAAACTATGATTATTAATAACTTTTTAACAAAAAGGACAAGCGACGGCTAAAACTTGTTGGAGGTTACTCAGGGTCATGACCTTGACAACATATGTCAAGGTCAAGAGGATCGGAGCTGCTTCCGTTATTGTAAACATTTACCAAATAACGTCTATTTTTAGATCTCTGCATCTATAAGTTAAATTTTTATAGATACTTCAGCAAAACTATTCTTTTCGTACGTGTAAATAAAAGGAACGACTCAGATTATGTAGACAAGGGGAAATTTTGTAGATGCGTATCCAGGTTGATCTGTGGACCCGGTTACATGCTGGACCCGGCGTCCGGACAATTTTGTACCGACGTCGACGAATGTCGGGAAGGAACGCACGAGTGTGGCAAGGATCAAAGCTGTGAGAATCGACGAGGGGGATATCATTGCGTCTGTCCGCCTGGTCACGCAGTTGGTCCCAATAACGATTGCGTTGACATCGACGAATGTAGTTATGCTATTGGTATTTGTGGACCAAACAGCCACTGCGAGAACACTATTGGCTCATATAGGTGTATATGTGGAGAAGGCTTTGAAAACGTTGGAGAAGCATCCGGTGTCTGCCAAGTGAGTTACACATTGTACAATTTGGATAGATAACGATAATTAATACCCCGAGACGAGAATAGTGTCGTCTCGAAACTTATTCGTGATTGCTTCCAGGATATCGACGAGTGTCAGCGAACAACGGATCTCTGTCAACACAAGTGCTTCAACGTCTGGGGCGGCTATCGATGTGGATGCGAAGCTGGATTCAGGCTACATGCACTTGACAACCGTACTTGCAACGACATTGATGAGTGCACGGAATTCAAGGACAGTCATCTCTGCATCGGCATCTGCGAGAATACGCCGGGAAGCTATGCGTGCAAATGTCCCGAAGGATATAGGCTCGGTAACGATGGCCGAACGTGTCAAGGTAATGATTTTTAGATTTCTACATATACACATATATATAAAAGCAATTGTACGAAAAATAATTAAATACGAAGGTATTGAATAATTAAATTAAATTAGGATACTCTCTTTATATTGTCGAGAAGAGGAAAGACCTAATTAGGATTCAAAGACTGACAATAATATGTATACACGTTTGTATGTGTATCGCAACGTGATTGCACGAATCAATGAAACGAAAAGTGAGAGCTCGTTTACATGAATCATCGGTGTCGTAGCTTCGTGAGCATTTCACCTACTTACTTATTCCGTAGTTAAAACAGCGGTGCAATTTGTACTTGACCCGTTTGCCAGCGAACTGGAGCATCAGCTCATGGAGGGTCAGACCGGTGCACACGAACGCTCCTGCAATCTCTTCGATCTCGCGCAATCACGGCAACATTAACAGTCACGATACCGCCACGTGCTGTAACATACTTAATTGTCTTCTACGTGTGTTCGCAGACATCGACGAGTGTGAGACCGGTCAAGTATGTAGGAATGCGGAAGAGATGTGCCAGAACGTGCGCGGAAGTTTCCGATGTAATCGGATAAACTGTCCCTCAGGGTATCACCAGGACCCGATGAGAAAAAAGTAAATGATTGAACTGTTATGGAGATAACAGATTTAATTTTCTCTGACTTTACTCGTATGTCACATTTCTGATATACTTATATTCATTTGAATTAACTTTAAATATATATATAAAGTTATTTGACCGACTCGATGATAAATTCATAATAAAGGATTTTGTACATTTTAATCTCTTGGATATCGACATAAAGCTACTAAAAATAAACAGTTTGTGACGTTTGAGGAAACTCAGCAAGAATATCGAAAGGATAAATACGCATCATTTGTGCACCTCAATTTTTGAAATGTTCTCCAAACGCTACAAACTTTTTAATAATTTTTCACATCTAGAGGTTAAAATCTATTATAGTCCAGTCACTATAGGATTTTAAAACACAGAAATTCCGACCAAGCTATAAATTGCTAAACACCGTCATTTAGGCGAGAGAAATGATGTCTGAAAAGTTCCCAACGTTAGCTTGTACGCTAAGTTTTTTTATCGAGCGTCGAGAAGAGTTGAAATTTCGGTTTTTCGTGGTTATCTTCTTTTTTATCAATTTTACGGCCAAAGTAGGTTCATAATAAAAGAAAGATAATAAAATTATCTACAAAATTCTCTAATTGTCGTACTTTATACGACCTATAGTTTTCGAGATAGATTTTTTTGAAGGGATGTCTTATTTTCGAACGTTACGTAAATTTGTTCTGTCTTCGCGAATATCTCAAATTTAGGTGGATTTACGTGCAAAACGCACATAACAAGATCGGAAGAGTATTTAATTACCTACAAAATGGGATTTTATTGAATGTCGTACGTTCGCTAGTTTCGGAAATATCATTTTTTAAAGGTACATTTTGACTTGTGAATATTTTGAAAATGAGAATCTTTTTTCGTTAATATATCGGAAATATCTTATATACGGCTGCTTCTACGCCAAAAATAGTTATTATCAAAATGGAAGATTATTAAATTTCTTACATTTTGGTTTTTTAATGGTTTGTATACGACTAATAATTACTGAGATACAACTAAAAAATCTTTATTATACGTGTTTCTGAGTACATTTTTGTAAATAACTTACTTCTGATTTGTCTGAGGTGAAAAATGTATAGAAGTTATGTGGAAGCTTATAAAATTATCTTTAAAATGAGATTTTTTTGAATCTCATCCAATGAATAGTTTCCAAGATACAGCCTTTGGAAAATTTCGTAATGTGCTGATTTTATGAAAAAATCGGACTTTTTGTATAAATAAACATATGTAATAACGATAGAAAAATTAATATCCAAATTTTTCTGTTAGTTTACATATACATATACATAATATGTACACGATCCTGTATCGGCGATAGTTTAAAAAATTTACTTTTTGAAAAACATTGCTATAAAAATGCTTGTTTTTTTAGCTTTTGGCATAAAAAGGCAATTTGCGGTACCTTTTTTGTAAATATCTCAATTTCTGCAAGATAGATGTAAAAAAAATATCTTAGATAAAAATTGAAGCTTAGAAAATTTCCTACAAAATAGTGGGTTGTTATTAATTTATACGTGATAAACATTGACCGACATACAGACGTTTGAAAACGGGATTTGTTTTTTCCAATTTGTGCCTTCATTTTTATAGCCGATAATAATTGCCAAAAAAGTTTATTTGCAAAATTTTAAAGTCGACGTACGTTTCTGAGCTCATAATATATGATATTTGTGTTTATTTGGTACTGGGACCATATTTTTAGGACAAATAATATTCGAGATATACTGTAGGAAAGTGGTAGATTGAATGATGCGGCATCGCCGAATATGTGCTTGGCACGTACCTTTGTTCAATCGTTCTTTTCCAAGCCGTTTCTTTTACCTTTTATATAAAATTATAATAATTTTATATAAAAGGTAAAAGAAACGGCTTGGAAAACATAATGTCAACGTCAAGTCACGTCGAGTTTATACAAATATGGTTGGTTCTACGAAAAAATTGCATACTATCTTTTTTATAGAGATTTTTATTATCTTTCTTTTATTATGGTCCTACTTTGGCCGTAAAATTGGTAGAAAAGAAGATAACCGCGAAAAACTTAGCGTACAAGCTAACGTTTTGGAAACTTTTCAAGCATCATTTCTCTCGCCTAAATGAAGATGTTTAGTAATTTATAGCTTGATCGGAATTTTTGTGTTTATACGTTCTTTTTTGTTCTGAAGTAACTGGACTATTAAAAACAAAACACTATATCTTCTACTTACACCTTTTTAAGCAGAAATTGATTTTTTTTTAACATCGCTTCTTTTCCCATCCGCAATTTTAGTCGCTGTGTGCGTTCCTCGAGGTTTTGCCGCATGAACGACCTGGCTTGCCTCCGATCGCCCTCACATTATTCCTACAACTTCATCACCTTCGTAAGCATGCTGCCCATGCCGTCCACCGGTCAATTGGAGCTGTTCACTATGAGGGGAAGCTATCAGTCCGAATCAACGGTACATTTCACCATGGCATTAGTAGACGTACGCGCACCACCGGGTGTCGAGCGTGCCACGGAGTCCTGTTTTGCCCTGAAGAGACCGGCGCCTTCACAGGCGGTCCTGGTGCTGACGCGCACGATTCCTGGACCACAGGAGATTGAGCTGGATCTCACAATGGAGATTTACCAAGATGCTACGTTCGTCGGAAGTGCCATCGCTAAGATCTTCATTTTCGTCTCGCAATACGAATTCTGAGATCTTTTGAACGAAGATAACATAAAGATGAATAACGATAGGATCTAAGATCGTAAAATAAAATGACGTAATTTAAAAATATGCTTAATTACCCGATTTTATGTGATTGTCTCTTCTCTATAGTGTTACCGCATTATAACAGCAACAAGCATATGTTCAAATCATTTTGTCTTACGTGATAAAAAAATTCTTAAAAAAATATAAAATTAATTCTATTGCTATATAATCTGTTGAATAAAACTTTCGTTTTATTATGTATATAGGGTGTTCTAGACTAGCCGCCGAAGCCGCGGCATGTACGTATACTGTTTATAAAAAACTGAATCGAAAAATTCTCTACTATTCTGCAATTTTCTTTTTTAATTAGCCAATAAATGTATCTGAAATCGACGCATAAAACAACTTTAAGACATGGAGTTTTTTAAAGAAATATTATGACTTTAAGATATTTCATTAAGAATTTTGGAAGATATCTTAACGTTGTTTTATACATCGATTTAATCCGCTTATTCAGCAATTTTTAGAAATTAATATCTCGTTAACTATTGCGACCATTGTAAAATAGTAAAGAATAACGGTTTTTCCGGCTGATCTGACTCAACCTGTATAAACAAACACTTTTTTCCCAAGACATAAAATATTAACATTTTAAGCAACATATGTTTAAAAACTAATAATGTATTGATTTTTTTCATTTTTTGCTCATTTTTAGAACTATAAATATTAAAAATAAGTACACACGAGCTAGCATTTTTATCGTAGATATATGTAAAAAGACAAATTAAATGTATATAGAGATTCCTGTAAGTTAACATACATATAAAGGTATAACATAGAATAAACTTACATTAGATGATATATGGAATTTAATAATTTTCAAGCATCCACTTGATGTTTTATCAAAATCACAACTTTATTAAATGTTTCACTAGCGACACTCTCCTTCCTCTAATTTACACGGTCCGCTGTTTGGAATCGAAACAACGCCTATTGCTTCGAATCTATAATTCTTCACTTCTCCTTCTCAAAAGACGAAAAGAATAAAGCAACAAATTTGAGATCCTTAGTGTTAATTGCCGCTTCGTTGCATGATACGCGCGTTAACGTATATAATGTTTATATATATATATATATATAACGTAATATTATATATACATAAAAGACTGTAATAAAAAATATAATATAATATCACTGCGCGTTTTATATATGACGACCATCGTCGCGTTGGATGCGAATACCGAACGTTCACCCATGGTGTAGCGAATTGCAATTATATATTATTAATAAGTGCGATTTAATAATTGTACTAAAGATAATTACGTTCGCCGTCGCAAAGATGACATTATCATCGATAGCGAGCAATAGCGGTAGCGTAAATCAGAATATAATCGTAATAAAATAATAACTATATATAATCGTAATAACAATAATAATCTAAATAGCTAGCAACTATAAATAGCGGTATTAATGTACACACGATAACAGGAAATAGAACAATTCGGGCGGAACGCGTTGCGAGCGGCGCGCCGAGAAAATGCATACGAATAAGTATATCGTGTCGCACACAGAGAAATTTCTTCGGCACGATGCATTGGTGATACGTAATACACCTATACGAGAGAACGCGATTATGTCATCGGAAAATCTCGTCGAGACATATGCCTCGAAGTGCATCACCAATAGATACCTATAACATGTAATATCTAGGACACGGCTCGTCTTTCGCGGGGTTTCACAGTGAGCCGGTTTTTATGCCCATTTATATCAATTAATTATCAACTTTATAATTTTGGTTCAACTTACTTGTCCATCTTTTTTTAATTCTTACAATCAGAATTAGAAAAAGATGAAGAGTTAGTTAAATCAAGATTAAAATTAAACTACGTCGCATCAGAAACGGGCATTATTCGCTTAATTGGTCCTATTAAAGATGCGTGTACTAATTTTTTTGGCAAGTAAGAAAATGAGAGTAAAGCCCAAGACACAATGCGAGGGAATAGCGATAGCGATAAGTTTCAACTTATCAGAAATCGAATACACCGGAATACACATTTTTGATAAGTTGAAACTTATTACTATCGCTATTCCCTCGCATTATGTCTTGGGGCGACATAAAAAACCGAAACAGTTATCAAGTGTAAGCAGTAGGCGAATTGGCCAATCACAGTAGAGACCGTAAGACTATAACGTATAAAGCGAATTTAATATATTAATTTCTTTACTATGCTTACGTTTTTTACTATTTGCTGTGTGCCACATGGCGCCTTGAGTGCCATGAAAGTAATAGTATGATTGTGACGTAGTACCGGTAGCATCCAACCAAGAAAGCTCATACTCGTGAAACTCGCATGCCTCTTCGCGGTCCTAGATATATACGTATATTATAATACAGCATACAACGTACTTCCAACAAGCATACGCATAAACACAACTAATAAATAGTATATAACTATAAACGTAACAGCCTGGATACAGCGGCAACGCGTAACAATGATGGCAGTGATACTCGTCGCTCGTCCTTCGTTAGATTCTAGAAAAAATGGAAAAGGAGCGTTGACTAGGATTTGCTGGAAATTTACCAGGGCTTTCTCTCTGTGGGCCCTTGCGCCGAATAACGTGTGGCGAGATGCTGCTATAGCCGATTTTAAGTACTCGATGGCAAACTATGTGAAAAGAGTTACGTGGCGATATTTTTTTTTACCAGGGTTGCCACAAATTTTTCATCCTAAAATTCCCTGATTTCCAGACAAAATTTTATGATTTTCCCTGGCGTGCACAATACGATTTCAAAAAATTTGAACACGAAGAGGATAATTGCTTCAGGCCTACCTTCGCTGTTGTAAAGAAACGCATGTTTGCAGATTTTCTTGCATCCAACATTTTCTTGCTATGCCTGGTTCCCGGCTTTACGTGACTTCTTAGAGACATTATTCCCATATTACTCAGTTGTATAATCTTTTTACATAAAGTACAGTAAGCTTCTGTCTCCATTTTGCCTTTTTGAATCCCAAAAAATTTAGGTTTCAGTGTCCACTCGTTACGAAAAACAGTTTTCCTTAATTTACTCATTATTACAACTAGGTGTAAAAATATCTATGAATAGAAAGCAAGAAATATCATACCGAGAAGAAAATCAAACGACAAGAATAAATCGATTCTTAAATTCCATTAATGCTAATGATGTTTTCATTTAATTTAAAAAAATCTCAGGCCAAACAAATCAGCAACACATCACATAACTTATCATCAAATGATTATTAGTTTACCTTTGGTACAGATTTCTTTTCTTTAAAACAGGAGAAACATGCTTAGAGCTCAATGGCCAAGCACTATACGCAATGCACTATCTTTACAATGCAAATAACAATAAAAAAAATGAGAAAAAATTTTCTAACATACGAAAGGTCTAACAGTAAGGGGCTACGCAGAATAAAAGGAACAGAGAACAGAGAATAAGAATTTAAACCTATCAGAAATCATATACTGTGGAATAAACAGTGTGTATTCCATAGTATATGAGCCGCAAGATCACGACAAATCATAAAGCGAAAGAATTATTGGCCGAGTTGACTTGAAGAACGAAGCGGAATGATTTTATCGATTGTGGCACCGTGATATATAATAAATAAATTTCTTTACAGAGAGCTATTTTATTTTTCCAGAGAAGTGTGCTAAATCCCTGACTTTCCCTGACTTGTGGCAACCCTGTTTACACTATTTACAGACGTACGTGTCGCTATAAAAAATAAACGTACAGAAAACTAAAAATCTTGACTGAAACTCGTCAAAAAGATCCACTCCTCTTTTAAATAATGCGAAATTTATAATCTAATTATATCTTTTTACTATTTATAAACGCATTTCGACAAATGTTTGTTTTTACTTTTGCAAACACGCGTTTATCACACACGTCAGATTCTTCCCTTCCAGCATTCCACGATCTCATATCTCAGTATCGTAAGAGAGAACAATTTTTTAAACAAATCCAAAAAATGGTTAAAAAAATCTTTCAACAGAAAAAAGTATGCGCAAAAACATTTGTAGATTTTGTTGTATGTTAAGCTAAGGTTAATTCTACAATGTGCCTTTTGTTTCCTGTTTTTTGCTGTTTGTTTCTGTTTATCTTTTGCCTTTTTGATCAAGAAGGCAAGAGACAAACAACAAGAAACAGGAAACAGGAAACAAAAAGCACATTGTAGAATTAGCCTAAGTCTTCCCAAATACTAAAAAAAGATCAGTTTATATACATAATTTAATGAGTAATTTAGTTAGGCAACGCGGTGTCTTAACGAATCGCGAAGTAGAGCTCAAATTTCAATAACAGTGTGATTTCAACAGAGAAATAGTTTTTTTTACATGGAAAAATTCTTACTTCGAACGATACTACATTTTGCACGCACCACGTGATCGTGAATGTGTAATAAAACTATACTCAATTTACTCGATGGAACTATAATAATCTACTGGATATCAATTATTTACTCGATATATAGGCACTGAACTAGGGAGATCTGCGCCGTGAAAAATAAATACACTAACAGCTACCTGTTTAACGGAGGTAGTAGCAGTTGATACTCTCTTAATTGTGACCGTCTTACATTTCGCAAAATGAAAAGTGTCACCGGATACGTATTTCGTAACTGTGGTTACGACATGTTTATATCACATTAAATTCGATAATTTCCGTCGAATAAATTTCGCACGAGAATGAGAGATCAGCGTAAAAATGCTTCTGTGCGTAAAAATAGTTGCATATTGGATAGCTCTTTCAGGATTTTAATTAAGTGTATTTTGCTTACTCTCTAAAACTTTTCGAGTAAATGTCACACTGAAAGATCGAGAATTGAGCTACTCTTTTTCAAGATTAATTCAATTTTCACTTTTTAGAGTGAGTCACTTCACTCCAAAGAATTAAACGAGCACGTAACGCTTTTGCGACGTATGTATAATATTGATTCAAGAGGAACGATACAGAGTTACATCTACTTGGACTCACAAAACATCGTCAATA